TTATTTTTTTATCCAATTTTCCCAAGATTGTAATCTCTTGTTCAGGCTCAGATCTTGTTATTCAAAATTGCACAGGACATCTTCTACACAGGGGTAGATATTGGTTATTGGTTAAGTCGTGAAGAAACGTATTCCACAATAGCAACAAAATTATATTTATTATAGATGTGATGATGTCTATGGACATATTTGTATACACATTAAAATTTAATATATGGTGATTCACTAATTTGGAATGTCTTTACTGGTTTACTGAGGTTATGATTAAAAAATAAAAGATTATGTATATTTAGCATGTACTGTGTGGTATTGTGATATAAATATACCTGTGTAATTATTACCACAAGCTAATATATTCATCACCCCATACAGTTACCATTGTGTGTGTGTGTGTATGTGTGTGTAATGTCTTTTAAAGTAGTCAGAAGTTGAGTTTGAGTTTGCCTTAGCGTATTTTCTGTATTACTAACATCAATAATGCCTATTAATTTATTAAATTATGTACATTAATGTGAGAATGTTTAGGGATATTTTTTAAAATACCCTGTTTTCAAGTTCTGTAACCACTCAAGGAGTATTTGTAAACAATTGAAATGCCACTTTTTAATTATCAGATGAGAAGCTAATCATTTATTCATAAAGCAGTGTGCCAAGGGATGCTCACCCCACTTCCAGGGGTGTGTATTGCCTTGGGAACTACAGATGCTCTTTTTCATATTAGTACCAAAGAGAGAAGTTTCGCTACAAAACCTGTAGAAAGATGACATTTCTTCTTTTGGTTTTACGACACAAAAATACGTGGCTGTCCCCAAGCTCTCTGAGTGTGTCTTCTCTGGGCAGTAGAAAGACAAAGAGCAGTCATGCAAATGACGAGGATGAGGAGGCTAGGAAAACATAAGCAAGTCGAGGGTGGCAAAAAAAAAAAAATGGTCTGTTAGAATAAGGATGGTGGGGTGGGTACTGTTCTTATCCGGTGGATTCAAGCCAGAAATTATATTTGGCCTGTGAACAGAAAATACATGTTTTCGCATGACCTGAATATATCTTGCCCAGACCTAACATTTCAAGACATGGTATGAGACATCTCTGAAATGAAATGAAAGAATTCTCACTTTACAGTGAGACATCATGATTGAAAAAGAATCCATACCAGCCTTTTCTTCTACTCCAGGAGAAGAAGAAAAAAAAAGCTGTCCTAATTACCCATTTCTAGAGCTAAAATATCTTTCATTGGACATACTTGAGAAAGATCACGATGAAAGTACTATGAGAATCTTGTTTATCCCATCGTTTTACTGCAAGATGCAAGAGTGATGTAAGGCCTAGCCAGCCATCGTTCTTGCCCACCAGTAGTTTGTCAGGACTATCCACCTCAGGAGAGGGAGTAAACCAAAAAGGGAAGTCTTGCCATGCTACGTTCAAGGCCTTTGCAAATCGTGAGAGCTCACTGAGAATTTTTCACACTTTCCCTAAGGTCCAACCCGATGCTCCCTGCTTGCTTCTGCATATTGGTCAGGATGGGAAGCAGGGCCTCCCTGTTGCACAGCTCCTGGGGGAACAATTCTTGGAGAATCTATAGAGTTCTATCTCCTAGTGGTGCCAGGAAAAAGTGGCTGCCAAGATGCTGCTAGTAATTAAGGACTTGGCAGCTGAGGGCAGCCAGGAAGCACGTACTAGTTACCATAACATCCAGATAGAACAAGTGAAACTCCTTTAGGTTTAAGTGGGACTGGGACATGTTTCCAGTAACATTAATGTACACACACACACACCCCCAACCGTGCGTGTGCACACACAGGTGTTGTTGGCACTTAAGAAATGAAGTGTGGCTCTGGCCATCTGGGAGCATGAGTTCCCAAGCCCAATGCCTATTAACTCCATGTTAATTTAGTAAGGTGGTGAGTAGACAGCGATAAGACCCCAAATTTATGTTAACTGATGCTTTGGGTAGTGGAATCATGCTTATTAAGGATCTTTGGCCAAAGATTTTCCTGTGTAATTAGCAAGCATCTTAATTACACACTTGGATTTGAAGCTTGAGTTAAAGTATAAAAAATGATACAAATTAGATAAAGACAAAAAGATTAGAAGGGAAGCCCCATAGTATAACTGCATTAACAGAGTATGATAATTTATTAAAGTTTATTAAAATTGGAATTTGAAATAAATTCAACACTTATTGAGTACCCATAAATAAGCCTCATGGAAAGGATGTTATAGGAACACATAAGACACTATTACCAACTTCTAGGAGCTTTCATTTTATAATACAGCATGTATTAGAAGAGCGGCATAAAATTTTCAGGCGGTTTAGAAAGGCTACTTTGAGTAATAAAAGTAAATTAATTATGTAACTCCCTGTGCTTTTAGAAAAGATATTGGATGAATACACATGGCTGCAGAATCTGCACACTGAAAATATTACCTTGAGCTATTTAAATAAATACAGATTATTACTCAATTCCAAGTGTGTCCCACATATATTCACAAAATCACAGGGTAAAGTTAAATGTAACTGAAACACTAAACATAATGTTGATAAGCTGCTCAATAGGTTATGCTACAGGCCGTAGCCTTGTGGATAAGTGCTAGAGAAAACGTTAAGCTTTCTTCTTCAAGATATTTCATAGCATTGACCTTAAAATCAGCCATGAGAATAAACACAGCATTATAGACCTAAGGCCTAAAACAAATATGAATTTTATAATTAATTTGCAAGCAAATACCACTTTTAATAAAATTTGAAAATATAACCCTTGGCTACTTCTAGTCAATCAAATTATGGTTATCATCAGATGTAGTCTTACAACGAATAGGGACATTTTAATGAACTGGAATATTTTAAATATTTGCAAAATTATGGAAAGACTGGTAGCACTTTCAGTAGCACTTACTGAAATATTATTTCAGATGTTACTAATAATTTTCAAAATGTTTTTATCTTTCTTACCCAGTTAGCCCACTGTGAGATAGGAGAGGGAAGCCCTGTCATCTCCATTTTTTTCAGACAAATCATTTGAGGCTTAGAGAAAAGTTTATGTGACACAGGCAGTTCCAAGTATCTGATTCCCCAAATAATCAGTAGATGCTATTTGTGAGGCACTTTGCTGATTTTTTTTTTTTTTTCTCCTTGGTGGTTTGCTCACTCATCCAATTCATCAGAAACACCTTAGTTCCCTACTGTAAGCGCAGCACTCCTGGCCAGGATTTGTTCTCAGCTTCCTGTTAGCATATATGAATATGATACATTTGCTTTTCATTGAAACAACCCCAGAAATCAGGTTTTTCTGCCACAAATCTTTTCTTGAAGGAGGTAGCCTATAAAGAAATGAAATGATTTGAAATGACTTTTAAAATTGTTCTGCTAAGGTTAAACTCCTGAAAGAGAGAAATTATATCTTTTAAGCCCAATTCCAATATTTAAGGGATGTGTGGCAGATAGATCTGTTGTTGGCTAGTGGCTTGCCTTGTATCTGAATTGGTGTTTCTGTGATGAATGTGGTAAATATTAATGCCCATAATTGTAATCATGAATGGTTGTTTTTAAAAATCAAATTTATTGGTGTGGCATATTTTGACTGGACGAGAAATTTGTGTTCTAGAAGTCCCTTACATGTTAGAACTAAGTAGAAGGTCCTTCAAGATTTTAAAATAAAATCTTCAGTAAAGTTGAAAACCTTGCATTTGCGAAGGAAGTTATTATCATAGCTCGAAGCTCAGTTTGGCATTTCTAAGCTTTCTTTCCTTTTTATACATTCAGTCGTCCTTCCATCCATCCATCCATCCATCCATCGTCCCAGTTATCTGTCTGTCTACTTGTCCACCCCATGCATGGGCTTCCCACCCCCACCCAGTCCTCCCATCCACCTGACGGTCTCTCTTCTAACCTCCCCAGTCTTTGATTTCTCATTTTCTATTTCAAGAGCCCTTGAGAGAAATGAGAAGGAAAAACAGTTGCTATTAACCTTAATACTGACCCTTTGGTTTTCACTTAAATGACTGTATTATGTTTATTATCTAAAATGTGGCACTTCTAAGAGTAAACAGGGCCTTGTTGGTGATCATCCTGGGAAAACCGGCATAAACCAGGACTGTTCTGGGTAAGTCAGAACATCGGGTCACTCGTACAGGATATGTTGTCCTAAAAATCTAGAGTGGGATTCTGATATAGTATTAGTACATTTTTAGCTCTAGATTATGTGATTACGTGTGTTGTTTGTTTATATTAAAAACAGAGAGTGAGGCAGATTTTTAAAGATTTTATACGTGTGTCCTGGTGTAACTTGCGCCTGATTTTTTTGTAGCATTAATTCCTGTACATGTAGTACTTAGCTCTGCAGCTTGAAATCACCTAGATGTTTAACTTACTCCCTTTTGTTGCCTTTGCCCTGGGCTTGATTGATTGCTCTCCCAATAACTGGGCGGAAATCGACAAATCAGTTTGTGCAGGTGCAGCACTGACGGAGGCGCCCGGGGCTCCGCGCCCGCGGTCCGCGCTCTGCAGCTGCGGATGCCGGAGCAGCCGGGCCGTGCGCACCAGTGAGCGGTGCCGAAGGCCGGTCCGCGCGCTCGGGCCCGAGGGCGGGCGGTGCAGCGGCGCCAGGCCCGTGAAGGGGCCCCGGGGTCAGCCGCGGGTCGCGGCCGGCCCTGCCGGGGGGGTGGGGGGTGGGGGTGGGGGGTGGGGGGCCCCCCCACCCATCCTCGCCCTCGGTCGCCCAGGTCAGCGGCTGGGGGGTGGGAGGGGCGGGCATCCCCGGCTCCTTGGGGATTCCCCCCCCCCCCGTCGCGGTTCCTTCCTCGGAACTCCCCTCTCTCGTGGCCCTTCTGGCCCGCTGCCTCGCACACAGTGGGGGCCTGACGGGCACCTGCTCGCGAGGCCGTCGGAGTGGTCCGCTGTGTCCGCTGATGTCCGGCGCGTGGGCCCGGCCGGTGCTCGGCTCGGCTCGCCCCGCCCCGCCCCGCCCCGCCCGCCCAACCCCCCTGTCTGTGACTCTCCACAGCCCGCAAGTCCAAGAAGCTGGGCAAGCTCAAGGGCGCGCACGAGGAGCCGCCGCCCGCGCCGCCGCAGAGCCCCGAGGAGGGCGCGCCCTACCTCGCGCCCGCGCAGGAGCCGCCCGTCCCCGCCGCGCTGGGGCCGCAGCTCGCCGCCGTGTCCCGCGCGCTCGCGCCCTCCCCGGTCACCATCCTGGAGAGCATCGAGCCCGAGGTCGTGTACGCGGGCTACGACAGCTCCAAGCCCGACACGGCCGAAAACCTCCTCTCCACGCTGAACCGCCTGGCGGGCAAGCAGATGATCCAAGTGGTGAAGTGGGCAAAGGTACTTCCAGGTAGGACGCCCCGCCCCCCGGCGCCCCGCCCCCCGCCCCGCCCCCCGGCGCCCCCTGCGGCCAGCGCCCCCTTCAGGCCCCGCACCACACTCTCCCGTCGTCGTCGTGGTCGTCGTCGTGGGTACCCAAGTCAGGGCGCGCGCGCGCGCGGGGAAGCTCATCTCTCCGGAGATGCTAGGGCGGAGGGTTCCATGTGAATCCTCCCTCCTTGTGCTGCGGGTTGAGAGGGGACATCTCAGACCCAAAATACTAGGAAGGCGAACTGCGCCCTGTTCGCGAGGGCACGAGCCCGGGGAGCAGCGGCCTGCAAACCAGGGCCGCTGTAAGCGCCAAGGACACCACGACCTAGCAAGTAAGTCGGAGGAGACCCTGCAAGCCTGTTCTTTCTGAAAATAGCGTCGTTACCTCCAGCACCCTTTAAGCTGTCCCTGGAAGTTCCTACTTTAGTCATTTTTTTATGCTGTAGAACTTTATTAACAAGGCCCCTGTTAATCCACAGAAACATCCCTAGGGATGGGCAGCCCAATGTCCCAGTCCATTAATCAGAGCAGTTTCTTGGATTACGGTCAGCCGGGGCCCTAAGACAGAGCACTGGGGAAGGCTCCTTTGCTGGCTTCTTTGAAGACGAGCTTGCCCAGGTGAACCCTACAAGCGAAGAACACCGTCGTGCCCCTGGGGTGACACAGGGGATGAGAAGAGGAACAAAAGAAGGGCTAACTTGGGCCCAGACAGGAAGACTGCGGGAGAGGGGAGGACGGGCGCCAAGGACGCTTATTCGGCTTCACAATTTTGTTGGAGTCCAGTATTAGCCCAGAAGAAAGGAAACAAGGAATGATACTTTTTCAACCACCGCAGATTCATGAAAATTAAGGCCTTCCACATTATTGCAGATATGCAGGAGTTGACAATGAGTTATTAAAATATTCTTTATTTAACACTATTGTGAGTGGGATGAAGCAAGTTTTATAGGTTGATATGAATTATTTCGGTCTAACCAAGGGTTGTAAACTGTAGATAGTCTAAAAACTTTATACTCTAGACAGATATGTTAAAAAGAAAGATTCAGAGTGGTTGATAACAAAAAGAAAATCGAAGTCTTACCTGAACAATTAATGCCCCATCCACACACACACAAACATAAAAACATAATAATAAAAAAAAACAGGAGTTTGACCTTAATTTCAGACACGTTGGATTCAGGACAAATAAGTATTGTATAAGACAAGAATGATACTTTATAACACAAAAAGTAAAATCCACAATGAAACTGCCCGAACTCCCTGCTTTTATTTGTCCTGGCAGTTCACCCTCATTGAAAATTTAGGGTGAATTTAAAACGGTAAGTTGAACAGGGCCATGCCCACAGTGGCTGCTCCTTAAATGACTGTTGAATTAATTTGAGTCTCTTAGAGACAGGTGACTGTTTGGGGTTGCCTTAAGAAGCTTCTTCCTGGAATGTACTTAAATGCTAAGTGTATTTCTGTGATTAATTGTTCTGTTCCTCAGGATTTCGAAACTTGCCTCTTGAGGACCAAATTACCCTAATCCAGTATTCTTGGATGTGTCTATCATCATTTGCCTTGAGCTGGAGATCGTACAAACATACAAACAGCCAATTTCTCTATTTTGCGCCAGACCTAGTCTTTAATGAGTAAGTACCTATTAATTAGCCTTCATAAAATAAACTGCAGAGTTATTTGTTAAGCTTTTTTAGGATTTCTAAACATAAATCATATGTATATTTGTGAAAGAATCCACTGACACTAGCATTTTAAGAGTAAAAAAATCCTATCATTTAAGAATTTAAAAATTACTTTTTACAGAATTATAATGCACATGTCTGAGTATATATAAATCAGTATATATGGATCTCACAGAATAGTATGTGGGAATTGTCCCAACAGAAAGATGATCCAGTTGGCTCTAAAAACTTGACTGGTACAAAGCCACGATTAATAGAAAACAGTCTCGTTTGGTATCTACTCCGGTTGAGAAGACTATCTAATTTCTAGGAAATGCAAATGCATGAAGTGCCAGTTTTTGCACGCTTTCATATAGTGGTTCTATTGTTAACAGTATACAGCTGCTCAATGTGTTTTCATGACACTCATAATTACCCTTCTTTGCAATCATAAAAAAAAAAAAAAAAGCCAAAATGTTTCTCTGTAGTGAAACAACTTTGGTTTTATGATGCATTTTAAAAGATCAAAAGAATTGTAAGAGATGTTTCTTTGGCCATGAATTCCTTCCTATGTTAAGTTTACATTTCAGTACCATTTGCATTCCACATTAGCACATTTCATTTATGTTTATTTCCAGCAGTGCTTCTTTGTAATTGTGGGGTCAAGAAATACCTAAAATAAAAAAGGAACATTTGAATTATGATAGTAACCACAGCCATATTCTAACAGATGGCTCTCCCTAGATATGAAAATAGGGGTTTTCAAGTAAGGAAGGAAGCAGATAAGAAATAGATTGGTGATAAAAGAAAGAAAAGCAGTGCAGAAGGTTAAAAGTGGATCCATAGTGCCAAGATACCATAGTGGTACCATAGCAGTTTAACTACGCAGCCGGGTCACCCCAAAATGGTGTGCCACAAAGGCCACTTTATTCCAATATAAATTAGAAACATCAGATGTTGGTTCTCAAGGTGACCCTTCTTTTGGCGAGTAGTCAGGAAGAATAATTCTACTGCATAATTTTTCACCAAAAGCACTAAATGAGGCGAAACAACTGACATGCCCACTTTCATTTACTTATTTTCCTCATGAATCGCTGATGTTATTAAGTAGTAAGCCTGTTTTCAAATCTGGTCTATAAACAAAAAGAAAAAACATTCCATGTTTTAAAAGTGTGGGTAAATAAAAATCTCTACTCCGTGCCATCCAGCATGTCTCCATTTGATTTGATTTGATATATTTTTAAAGATTTTATTTATTTATTCATGAGAGACACACACAGAGAGAGAGAGAGAGGCAGAGACACAGGCAGAGGGAGAAGCAGGCTCCATGCAGGGAGCTCCCAGGACTCTGGGATCATGCCCTGGGCCAAAGGCAGACACTAAACTGCTAAGCCACCCAGGGATCCCCCCTCCATCTGATTTTAACAGGAGATTTAAAAGATCAGTTCAATCTTGTTTAGTACATCTATTAACTTTTCCCCATAAAATACATATAACATAAAAATTTCCCTTTTTGGCCGTTTGTAAGTGTACAATTCAGTGGCGTTAATTGCATTCACATTGCTGTGCAACCATCACCACCGTCCATCTCCGGGACTTTTTCATCATTCCAGACAGAAACTTTGAACTCCTTAATAACTCTACAGACTCCTCTCCTGCAAATATCTATCTGATACTCCCTAGTCTATGACTTTGCCTATTCTAGGTAATTCATACAAGTAGAATCATGCAATATGAATCCTTTTGTGTTTGGCTTATTTCACTTAAGCATAATGTTTTCAAGGCTCATCCTTATTGTACCCTGTATCAGGATTTCATTTTATGGCTGAGTGATATTCTAATGTATGTACATAGGATCGATCCTCATTGTTTGCAGATTCTATTTTGTGAATTGACCTTCTGGCTGCATCTATCTCTAACCCCAGAGTCAATACTCACAGCACTTCCACAATTCTTCACAGATGTACCCAGAGCAGCAATATATTTGCATCGCCCAGTGTGTACATTTCAGCTGAGACTCTCTGCTTTTTTGTTTCAGCTCTCATACTGTGAACAAGTGGCCTTTTCATGGCCTATTTAGTACCATGTTTTTTGCATTTTTGTGCTTTTTCTTGGTGATTTCACCATTTAAAATGACCTCTAAGCGTGGTTCTGAGTGCTTTTTGATGTTCCTAAAGCAAGAAGTCTGATGTTCCTTAGGGGAAAAAAAATACAGGTCTTAGATAAGCTTCTTTTGGGCATGAGTTAAGTATTGTTGGCTGTAAGTTCAACGTTACTGAATCAGCTACATATCTATTAATAAGGTGCCCTTAAACAGAAATGCACGTAAAGTAGGATTATGTATAGATCAGTTGGTGGAAGTGACCAGTGGCTCTCCAGAACCTAACCCTGTATTTCCCTTAGGAAATCAGTATTCACTGATTCAGTATTTGCTGCAACTTTATAAAATATAACTGCCTTATTTATTTTACCAAGTGAAAAGCATTTGTACATTAGTGTCTGCTTGAGTCCCTGCTTTCATTTCTTTTTGGTATGTATCTAGGAGTGGAATCTCCGGAACATATTGTTATTCTGTGTTAAACTTTTGAGGAACATATTGTAATTCTGTGTTAAACTTTTGAGGAACCACCATACTGTTTTCCACACATAGTTGTACCATATTATGTTCCCACCAGCAATGTAAGGGACCTGATCCCAGGAATCTAAAAAAGTAAGGATAGTTACAAAAGTTCCAATTTCACCACATCCTTGCTAACACTTATTTTCTGTTTGGGGCTTTTTTTTTTTAAGATTTATTTCTATTTATTTGAGAGAGAGAGAGAGAGAGAGAGAGAGAGAGAGAGAGAACAAGAATGAGGGGAGGGATAGAGGGAGGGGGAGAGAGACAATCTCAAGCAGACTCCCTGATGGGTACAGAGCCTACCATGAGCTCGATCCTAGCACCCTGAGATCTTGACCTGAACTGAAATCAAGAGTTGGACACTTAACCAACTGAGCCACCCAGGTAACTAGCGGTATATAGAATGTTTGGGGATGGGATTTTTTTGAGGGGGTCTGGGGTTTGAAATATATTTGATATAATTAAATAATGTCATTTATATATATTGTCATTTCTTTGTTTTGGTAAGAGTAATTAAGATCTAGTCCATTAGCAAGGTTGATGATAATATATTTTATACATTTACTATACTGTACATTAAATCTGCAGAACCTTGTCTACTAGTTGCTAGTTTGTATACTTAAAACAACATCTCTTCTATCCCCCTTTTTCTACCCCCTAGTACCCACTATTGTACTCAGCTTTTAGAAGTCAGCCTTTTTTTAGATTCCACCTATAAGTGATATCTTACAGCATTTGTGTTTCTCTGACTTATCTTTTAGCAGTTGTGAAGTCCTATCTCATTGTGGTTTTGATTTGCATTATCCTAATGACTAATGATGTTGGGCCTCTGTTCATAAGTTTATTGGCCATTTTGTAGATCTTCTTCAGAGAAGTATCTGTTCAAGTCCTTTGATCATTTTTAATTTGATGGTTTGTCTTTATGTTCGTGAGTTATAGGAGTTCTTTATATACTCTGGAAATTAAACCCTTATCAGAGATGTGATTTGTATATTTTTCCCATTTTGCGGGTGGTCTATTCACTCTTGATAGTATCCCGGGAGGCATTTAAAATTAACTTATATTTTTAATGAAGTGCTATTTATCTATTTTTTTTTCTTGTGTTGCCTGTGCTTTTGGTGTACTCTATTAATTTTTAATGGTATACACATATCTATACAGTTTCTGAAAAAGACAAAATTTTAAGAATCCTTTTAAAAATGAGATTTAGGGGTAAACAGCTTATATTTGAAGTCTAAATTAATGTGATTGAAAGGTTTGAGAAATAAATAAGAAACCAAAAATAGAAAAGGCCATATACACTTCATGTGCATTTGCCTGTTGTAAAAAATACTAATAGAGATGAAATGCAAACACAAAAATTGCTTTCTAATATTATAAATATAGTTCAATGTTATGATATTATATAATTATTAGAATGAAAATTTTGTCTCTCTTCTTAAAACATTGACCTTAGCCCCAACCTATAATTTTGTAGGTTTCTCTCAACTAGAAAGAATAGGGCAGAGCTTTATTTTTCAAAGTTGAGAAATGGGAGAACCTACTTCCAGAAAACATTTGGAAATAACATAAAGCCTTTTGATGACATCACACCAATGAGGAGAGCTTGACCAGTAGTAGCTCTATCACAGGATGCTATCACAGACCCTGTACTTTTTAGGGAAACTACTAAGTTAGGGAGGATGGCCTGCAACTAGACTCTGAACTCCTATGAGTGATTCATCCTGCATTTATTCAAGGAATATTTACTAACTATTGTCAATGTTCTGAACAGTGCTTTTAGAACAGGGGGAAAATGTATATATAGTCCCTGTTTCATGGAACATATAATCAGGGAGACAAATATTGATCAGAGAATCCTAAAATTATTATTCTAAGTATTGAACAGGAAAAGTACTTTGGGGGCAGTTAATGGGAGGGACTGATCTAGTCAGGAAAGCTTCCCTGGTATTGAGGAAACTAGTGTCAACCAGGTGGAAGGAGTACAGGAGGAGGGAAGTTGATCTAGGCTGAGGGACCAGCATATGCAAACCCAGTGACAAGGAAGGAACTCCATGCAGAACTGTACAATGATGGGACACGGAGAGAAGTGCAAAGGTGTCAAAAGGCAAAATCGACAGGAATTATTGTGGTCAGATTCAGGTAGAGAATAGAGCAGAGGGAAAGTGGGTGCCTCAGATGACTTCCAGGCCTCTGCCTTAAATGCCAGGTAGGACTTGGGATGAGGGAACGAGAGTAGAGGACCAGAGTTTGAAAGGGAAGAGGAAGGGAGAGTGTGAGGCCAGTTTTAAACATAAGATTGAATTGCCTTTCAAATACCATTCAAGGAAAGATAATTAAATAAGCAGTT